TACTGGAGTCTCAATCCTGTAGAAAAAGTATCTACAAACCGTAATCTACATCAAGGTGATGATAGGATGAGGGGATCCCAATTAAAGGGGTGAACTGCAATGTGACAGATCAACTCCAAAGCAACATCATCCTCCGGATAGAACTGCACAAAGGCTGGAGTGCAATAGCAACCTCTGGGTTCCACTGCATGAAAGTGGATTGCATCTGTAACATATAAGCAAGCAACCTCACCCTCTGGATAGAACCGCACAGAAGCTGCACGCAACATCAACCTTTGGGACCCACCACACAGAGGTGGAGCACATAACTAGAGGATCAAACACAATCTACACCAACAGAACACTACTGCCCTACTCTCTACCGAATGGAAGTGAACATATTCAGGAAGACTCCTTCATGGTCCACACTCCAGTGGCTCATCCAGTGTACAATGGAGGTGAGACTCCAGGAATAAAAGGGAAGGTGCTAAACTGCAGAGTCCACACATGAATCCAAAGACTCTGGAAAATATCCAAAAACAAACAAGATAGAGAAAACAAACCACCCAGAAGTCACAAAGATAATGGAAAGGTAGGTGAAAAGACAGTATCCTTCCAAAGAAGATCTGAACAGCAACAAAACCACATGTGAAGGGATAGGGCTGAAAAGGACAACAGTGTCAATGAGGAGTAAGGAGGGAAAGTGTATCCCCTGAAAAATCTCTCAGGTGATCAGTGAAGTGTTTCAGAAAGGAGATATATGTTGTACAAGTACTATAAGAGAGCTGTAACGAAACGACAAAGGTGGGAAAATGAATGAGGGAGAAATGGATAGGATTATCAGGGACAGCCTCCCACAAGAGCAAAAGTGACTCTAACAGCTGGGAATTGAGATAAAGTTGATCAGCTTCTGATAAGCCAAAGCATAAAGATCAGAAGTCCATGGACAACGAGGAATACTAACACCAGTCTTCAACTGAGAAACAAAATGCTCAGAATGAACCCTGATGTCAGGGGAAGGAAGGAAAGCAAGGACTCTAGTTATGAGTGTCATGTTAAAAAACAGTATCATATGGAAACTGTGAAAATGAGAAAAAGGTAGAGTTAGGCCTAGTAGATTTCATAGGAGACACATGAGAAGGCATGGCACAGGTAGGAGGAGGAAACTAAACTGTCAACATCTACCTCTTTATGAACAGGGTGAGAAATGGAGATGCAACCCAAACATTGTTGGGACGCCTCATATAATGATCAATCTCCCAATAGATGACAGTCGGAAAATCCTCAGTCTAGACCCCCAGACCTGAAGCCAGTAATGCCATTCAAAGTAGCAGTTATAATGTCAGAAACTGTAAAACACAAACTTCAGAATTCATCAAAAATGCAAAGAAACTAAAAATGAGAAGAAAAAAATCAATAAACAAAGGTAAGTTATCATGGCAAACTACTACAGAACTAACTGCAGCAAATAAATAAATGAATGAAGTAAATCACTACTTTGCAAAAAGGAAAAAAGAAATGAACAATTGAAAAGAGCACAAGTGAAAAATGTCTGCATTTGATAACTGCCAAACGAGAGTAATAGTTCCAGGGAATTGAATAGAGGGAGTCACATGCATCAGGAGGGTGTGTGTTGCACTCCTATTGGTGGAGCTCTGACACATGATGATGGTGGGGTGCATGGGAGTTCAAGGCCTATAGCATGCAAAAAAAAATTTTGCATATAGAGGGCAGCACTGAACAAAAACAGCTATACACTTGAGCAGAGGTAATGCACCGTATCGAAAACTGCATATTTATTTAACATGTACCATACTTTTGTTTGTTACTCCTTCACTTTCTGTATGTTTTAGTTTTGATTAAATTATCATTATTGCAGCAATGTATTTTAGCTATTTAGTTAGGAATGATGTAATTCTATTATTTGCTTTAGATACTGAAGATGGAATCTGTAGAATTTCAAAACATTTATCTATGTCCCCTTCTGTTATAAATAAACAATGATCTTTTATGATAAATATTAAAAACATGGTAACAGTGAAAAAACATCTTTAATACGGACATTTTCAAATTTCCTTAAATTCCATCATCACCGTTAATATCTCAAAAAAAACGTTAGTTCATAATATTTAAACTACAAAATACAAAATTAGCATTCAGTGAGTTTCATTTCCAATTGGAAGTTTAGAAAAACCAGATTTAAATGGTAACACTATAATGGAATGTATGATAAAATGTGCAGCATACACGTTTAATAAATAACATTTTAAGAGAAACTATTATAGAGAAAGGCTTAAATATAAGTATAAACACCATCTTTAAAACAGCAATAAATATCATATAAAACACTGAGAATCCAGAAATTTCAAGTTTCTAGGTTATTTCCTCTTGAAGCAATGGCACTCACACATATACAGACATTCACATACATGCATGTCTGTGTGTCTGTCTGTGATTTCTATTTATAATAAAGGAACCACTTCTTTTCTATGTGGTTTTTCTATAGCTTGCCTCATGAAAAAGATGCACACGCACATGGATAAGTAATATCAAGGTGCACACCCTCTGGGACCACTTAGTGTGGGTGCAAAATTTCAGGTTTCTAGGTTCTTTGCTCTTGGAGCTACTGTAGTCACACACATACAGACACACCCTTTTATTTTTATAGATGTGTATGCCACACATTTTATTGTATATTCCATTATATTGTTACCATTTAAATCTGTTCTTTCTAAACTTCTGATTGAAAATGAAAACTTGCTCAATTCTAATGTTGTTTTTTGTAGTTGGAATATAATGAACTAACATTTTTTTAAATATTAATGTCCATATTAAAGATGTTTTTTTGGTATTACCACGTTTTTAATATTTATTATAAAACTTCGTTTTCCTACCTGATGAATCAGTAACAATGCTGTTAATCTTAAGTATTATTATTCTTTTTATTGTGAAACTTTGTTTTCCTCCAAACACATCATTGCTAATGTCCTGGCACGATGGTATGGAAAGGATTTGTCGCCTGTGAAAATTTGGACTTTAAAATAAAAAAGTCAACCCTGGCATTTGCTTCCTTTCAGAATGCAAACTCCAACACATTTCTTCTCTTTAAACTATTAAACCAAAATTTGTCAGAATATCAGATTTGTTATAAAAGACTGTTGGTTGAAGAACTTCAACTGAAACATCAATAGAACAGACAGTATACTTAAACATTCAACGTGTGCATCACTAACCTTCAAAGCATCATTAGCAGTTTTGATTACACCCATTTACTAAATAAGTGGAGCCAATGCAATGAAAAAAAAAAATTGTCTGACTTGAATATGTCCAAAATTTAAAGCTGAGTAGATTGACTAATGACTTTTCTGCCAACTTTGATCCTGATAACATGATTATTAACCTACACTAAATAATCCACTTTAGCTAAACATAAGTTGAGTTCAGATTAGTTTTTAACCCACATCGTACATACAGGATTTTTCTTGTCCTAAACACCTTCTCTCAATTTCTATTTGTTCATGGATTGTATATTTTTACATGTGTAGAGATATAACGCCTCCTATATCGGAAAAAATCAAATGCCATCTACTAGTTAGAGCCAATGAACATATGGGAATTTTCATGAAAACACAAAAAACTTTGTGTAACCCCCGTGCTTCCTCTATACATCAATATAGTAAAGAAATGAGACACAAACATAACTTATTAAATTTTAATATCCTTTGCTAGGCCAAGTCTGATATGGAATAACTAATTAAAGAAACTCTCCACATCAAACAACTTTTGCCAACACTGTCTTTGTTTAAATTGCACATATTTTAATACATACGGTACTTTTTTTTGTTCCTCCTTCATTTTCTGTATGTTTTAGTTTTGATTAAATTATCATTATTGCAGCAATGTATTTTAGTTATTTATTTAGGAATGATGTAATTCTTTTTTTGCTTTAGATAATGAAGACAGAATCTGAAGAATTCCAAAACATCTTCCGTTATAAATAAATAAATAATGTTGTTTACTTTAAGACTTGTAATGTTTACTGAAAGCTTGTCAAATTTCATGAAGATAGAAAAAACACATTGAAAGTTACAGCATAGAAATTGATGGTCACTTTGGAATCACAAGGTTGGTGTAATCTGTCAAGCCTGTAGGGAGAGGGTTAATCTAAATGTTTGACCAACGGAATTCACCTGACTTTAAATTGGAATCTAGGATCAATTTTCTGAATTCTTCTGGTTATCTTGTTGAACTGGTCAGATATTTTATAACTCATTGTTGCTGATTGTTCTCCAAATATTTCCTATTGTTTGATAAAGTGCCGACACAAATGAACACAATGAGGAGACACCAGCTTGGCTGAAGACACTGTCTAAAACAGTCCAACAGGTGGTCAGCCTCTTCATAACTCAATTGACAAAGTAAATGGTAGATGCTGAGTTTGAGGTCCAAACATTTTTTATGTATAAAATCAAAAGTATTAGGTACTAACTTATATAATGATGCTTGATCTCAAGTACAATAGTGGTTATATAAACATATCAAAATCATTTATGTCTATCAGTTGTGAATGACAATTAAATTTATCCAAGAAAATAAATGTTTTAAAAATATGTAGCAACTGTACCATGCAAACTATTTCAATTTGATAAAAATTCCCAAAATACGGTTTGGAAAATAGCTTTTTAAACTTTAATGCTCATTTTGGCAACAAAAAAAAACTGAAAGATACATGAAAGTTTAGTGTAAGCAGAAGAACTTCATACTTACCAAATACATGAACAAAGGGAAACAATTAAATTGTATAATACTAAAGCAGCAAATCACATATTAATTGCAAATAAGGACTGATGTAGATAAAAGCAAGTTAATGCAACACATAACTGTTTCAAGCCAATCAAAAAACATATTTAAAAACTATTGTAGTTTCAGTGAAATGTAGCATCCTATCATCGTGCTAACATTTCAATGATTCTTAATAAATCAGTCTAAAATGGACATAAGAAAAACCATTATAAACTTACTAGTCTGTCTATTTCCAAAACTGATGGCCTCTGCTAATGGACTCCATCCCAAAGCATTCTTTACTTTAACTGGAGCACCATGGGCAAGTAAAAGTTGTATACACTCTGTAAAAAAGTTACTTTTTTTTTCTACCATATATTAAGAAATGTTGTAATAATTTAAATTTCAAATTACTGATGGAGTCTATGTAGACCCAATAAGTTTTAAACATGTTTTTCTATACTAGTTATGCATTAAATTACTTGTGAGTCAATGAGTTTCTGGTTACAGGGTTTCTAATAACATGTAACACACACAGACACACATAAAATGTAAATACAAATACCATCAATACTGCAGCTAATATCACTGGTGTCCCTTGTTCGTTTCACAAAGAATACGAGTAATTTAAAATATTTTTTACAATGAGTGTTCTAACAGGAAAAGGTTATTATAAATATTATGCAATATACCCGAAGCAAAGAGTATAAAAACAAATCAGTAATTTATGGGTTAAAAAGAGTCAATAATTTTTTTATGATAGTTTTGTTCAAGTCCAAAATTTGACCATTAGTTTATAGAGATTATCCACACACACACACACATGAAGTACCGTTTATCTAACTTAAAAAAAGGAGACATATTAATGCTGTTTGTGAACAATTTTTGGCTGTCCTTTTTTTAGCAATGATGTTAAACTTGAAAAACTTAACATTTTTCTTACCCAAAAATGTGTTTCTGATAGATACCTCTATGCACAAAGTAGCTATAATTCATACACATACTGTTGGGATTTTGTGCACACTACTTGCCTTGAATTATTTCCCAGCTAAATCATGTTTTGATGTGAACCGTGCTAGTAAATGACGTAGAAATTTTGCAGTAATAGCCAATAGACATATCTTCCATGCACAGTCGATCCCCATAAGTGTTTAAACTCAAAATTATTTTTATTCCTAGAAAAGGCATGAACAATGCAACTTTTTTTTAAATATGGTAAATTAATATAAAATGCAATAAATTTCCACCCAGCTTTAAAAAAGCTTAAGAAATGTTTTTTCACTAAGGAGAAATGGTCTATTAATAAACATGGTGTTTTATGTAAAACTGAATATGATCCTTCCAATTTGTAGCAGGTAACATTAGTTTGCAATGCCTTTAATTTATTCAAATTCAGCACATGTTTTTAAAATAAAATTAGCTAGAAGTTTTTGAAATTACCTTTCACTACCAAATTAAATGTTGCAAAATATTGCTTAAAGGTTGAAGATTTTTACACAAGTGTCATTCCATAAACAAAAGAATGACAAAATCTCTCAATTATCAAATTATAGTAATGTGGACATTTTTTGAAAATATTGAGCTAAGCTCTAGTTTTCAAGAAACTCAATGTAACCAGATGAATGTGTTTTTTTTGTAGGAGGCAAAATTACAAACTGAAAGAAGGTTAGAAAGGGAAGTTACAGAAGTATGAAATTAAACAGAAAGTTTTAAAACCAAGGTCTAGGAGAAAGCAAGCAGGTCTAAGTCATATTATTGTTGTAGTGACGGCTGTAATGTAGTTTTTGGTAGCTTATAGATATTTTAAATTATATTTTCATAGTTAGATAACTTATCTCCTAAGTCTTGAGAAAAACTTAAGTAAGTGAATAACAAACCTTAAATTAAAAAAATAGTGTAATTTCTGAACTGATCAAATTTATGCAAGTACACTGTTCCAGTACAGAATTACTTGCAAAAAAAAAATGTTTGCTTAAATTATATTTGTAATACTTTAACTAAAAAAGAGAACACAATTTAACCTGTTTACTGGTCCTAGAAATTATTTAAAAGGTTATTAAGACTTTCCATTATTATTACTATTCATGTATTTTTTCAAACTCTCTGTAAAATTTCAACTTTGATTAATATAGGTTTAGTTCAGCAATGTAAAATAGGTATTGTTTTTATTTAAAGTTTTCCACATTTTGATTCTTCTTTGTAGAAGAAACAAGTCTGCTAACGATTATGAACATTTTTGACCATATATAAATTTGTTACTAACATCAACTCCATGAACTGCTGATGAAGTTAGTTAAATCAAGTTGGATTATCTTATATTTCACACAAAAACCAATATATTCTTTCTTAACAGAATAAACATAGCCATACATACATAATGTAGCTTTGGCATGAAAAGTTTAATCAACGTATAAAAGCTAAAGTTTACTACATTTAATTACTCATGAATATTTAGCCTATTTATTATTTTCAAAACAGTAATAATGCTGAACTTATTCCTCTAGTTTGTCAACATTTATGTCAGAATAATCTACTTCAGTATTACTGTTAGAATGGATAAACAAAGATGGAAGGAATTTAATATGTTTATTATAATGACGTACTTTGTGTACTAGCATAACGCTGTAGACTTTCTTACAGACAATATTAATGCACTTATTACTTGAATGTCAAATAACTCCATTACTTTTAAGTGCATTATCTTTACTTGTTTCAGGAACAACTATAGGAAATCCATTCGGACACTTTCAATCTCGGTTAACTGCCCAATTGCACAATATCATGTAGGTTGGCCTAATTCATTTGGTCCACAGATTATAGTAAATGAAACAAAAAATTTACATGAGCGAGCTCTTCTTAACATAAAACATGAGATCATGCTATTTAAAACTGAGAATAGAAAGGCTTCATATTAAAAATCCACTGGATGATGATTAAGCACTTGGAGGAGAAAATCATTCATAAAATGATATATATTCTTTTTAAATATTACCTTCCAATCAGAACAAGCTACCTGCTTAGAGCAAAACTACAACTTAACTTGATATTCGTAATATAAGTACTGTTTATATCAGTTGGGTATATTTGCTGTAAATGATATTAAACAAGGTTAACAAGTTTTTATGTAAAATTGCTGTAAACATGATTTAGGATCTGTACTATACAGGTAAGCAAGTTGAGAAGTTTTGAACTTTTGGTTGTTAAGAAGGGTTGGAAAGGAAAGAGTCCTGGGGTGTTTGTAATAGAGAATTCTCTTACTATGCTTTATGATATTTATGAGATGGGCTAAACAGGAAAATAATGACTTAACTTTATTTATTAGATTTTGAAGTTCAGGAAAGACCAGATGGTTTGACTGGAGTATTTGTTAGAACTAGTGATGTAAATAGTGTCAGATGATACAAAAATACAGCTAACCTTCAAAACCTAAAGGATAAAAAAGTTAAATATCTCAGATTTTGTTCCTTGTTTTAGATGCAAAGTTGATATTTTCCTTACCTAAAAATGTATTTCAGACAGATCTGCACCACAACACATTGCTAAGTTAGGCAGAATAGCAGACTGCTCAACCATCCATTTTGTCACAGGTGGACAGCTGAACATGAGTGTGTAGTATGGTTATGGCTATAAGTCAAGCCTTTCAATATTAGAGAAATACTTACATGAGATACCACAAAATAAGATGCAGGGAATAGCAATCTAGATCTACATCCTGAGGTGAACCCAAGACCATTTTTTGCTAGACCTAACTACCAGAAATGCCTTGATTTCTAATATAGTGGGGTGTCATATACTACTTCCCAAACAAAGGGTACATTAACTTGGTTTTGTACCAGTAAGACTGCACCACCTAATGAGGAACTCTCGATATTAACTTCCCTAGTGCTTGGGACTGGAGAAGCATGTATTCTTGTATTCTACTAGAAGAAATGGAAGGAGTGGAAGATATCTGTGTGGGGTAGAATACTAGAAAGGTGTATAACCTGTTGTCATAAAGCATCATCATTTGGAATTAGGTCGCACACTGAGAGACAGTGCAATGGGTTTCTGCAACTAAAAACAACAGACACAAAGGTGGTAGTTTATCTCTGTGAAGTGCTGAATAGTCTGGAAAATATATATATATACACGCACCATTGAGGCAGTCATGTGGGACACCCCATCTGAACAGAGCAGAGACAGATAGGCTTAATGCTTTCTGTACTCCCCCATTTAACGAAGATTTTTGTATTCCCTGTGAAGCAACACATCAATCGCTCTGTGGGGTCCATCATCTCCATAGTGTGTACATACATGTGTGTGTGTGTGTATTTTGAATGAGGTGATTGTGAGACCTGAAAAAGAAAGGATAAAAATAAACAACTCACCACCAGATCCACCATGAAAAGTGGCAAATGGAAACTAGAGGGAGACAAAAGCCAAGGTAGGTGAAACTTTCCTGTGGTATTAGTAATGGATAAAGTATTAGGAGGTGTCGTCACCACCACCTGCAAGAACTCATAACAGGAAAAACTGAAGCTAAGAAAAGGGTCATCACCCATAAGAGAAGAAACTAGCCAGATATTGTGTATTACCAACCATGTAAATTGGAAGAAGATAAAGTACTACAGGAAAATAATCCTATTGCAAAAAAAAAGATGCCTCAAAAGGTCAAGGGAGCAGCACAAGTGAGAAAATACTAAATAGACTGTAAAGAAAACAATCTATGTCTGAATGACCATACAGAGAGGAAAATTAATGGAGAAAACATCTAATCACCCTTTCAAGCCACCCAAATTTTAAAACATTATAGGAAGAAGATGAACCTTTCCCTGTGATAAAAAGTGGTTGATTGTTTGGCATTTTTTGGTGCAAAGCAACTAGGCCATCTACACCAAACAAACGGTAAAAATCTTAAAAGTAAAATTCTATAAAATGTAAAAATAAATCAAGTTAAAAACTAAACAATGTCCAAAATTCAGATAAAAGACTCAAATAGAATTAAAAAGGCTAATGGCTTATAGAAATTTAAAAACACAATTAAGTTGGACAGTATCACCATCGCCAATGACACCATCCAATGTCAGGGCTAAACCCTTAGGAAACACGTGTCTAAAATGGTGCCATCACTCAAGAGTCGTAAAGATGGCACGACAGTAAAATATGGGCTATTGCGACTTGAGTGTCACAAAGGCCACACACTGGTGGGTAGGTCACAGATAAAAGAAAATGGTGAGTTTAAAAAATGTGACCAATACGTAGGCTAGCCAAGACAACTTCCTCCTTCCGATCCTTATGGAAACAAGATGACTTCAGAGCAACAGAAGGTATGATCTGGACAAGCTTGTTATGATGTTGCTCACTC